TGTTCATCATTTTCAGCATATTTCTCTAATCTATATTCTTCTATATACATTGAAATGTAAATGGAGTGACAGAATTCTGTTGTGTAGATGTATATACACATGGTAGGAATGACTGGCTCAAAAATTATTTTGAAAAGCAATCATAAAGGTGTACTTTAAACAGCATTTCATGAATAGAACTGCATTATATTCAATTATTCTTTTAATTCTTAATCTTAACCCTCATATTCTAAGACTAGGTTAGGGGATGTTTGTGAAATAGAATTTTATATAAGTTGGATCTTCAACCTTGAAAAGCTCAGAGATTTTCATATAAGCCAGAGTCCCTACTTAGTTTGCAATGAACTCATATGCTTTGAGAATCTGTCTTCTGTGATCACTGTGCTTTTCATGGTTTTAGGTATTAATGTTACAAACAGTACATAAATTACTATTGTCATAATTACATATAAACTGTATATAGATCTAGTTTTAAAAGATTTTGTAAGATAATATTAGAGCTGAAGACAGAGAGACTCAGCTATAGAGTGTTTGCCTGGCATCTGCAAGGCTCTGGGTTTGATCTTCAGCACCAAAGAACACCTCCAACAACAAAATAGCTTACACAGCAACTAACAGTTCTTTTTAGAAATTGACATAAAACCTTTCCATGAACTAACACACTATTTTTCATTTACGTATCAACAAAACATGTGCAATATTAATATATGACTATAGATTATTAACTTTCAAAGCTAAAATTCTAAACTCTATGAAGGAATCATAACTCTAAGGAATCATAAAAAAAAAAAAATTCAGCAAAGGGTCCATAGATGGTTTCAGCTCTCTCAAGTGCCTGAGGCACAAGTCTAGCTTACTATCTGGATCTACTGCTTCTCTCACTTTTGAGTACCATCCTTTGTCCACAGTATCAGGCCAGGCAACACGTGTTTGCTTTTTCCTAACTGTTCCTCACAGATGAAAGCATGGATTTATCAATTCTTTACAGTTTGGCCAAGACTCATACATATCCATTTCCTCTCTTGTAAATTGCATATAAATCCATTTATCTCATATTACAGAATAAAATGATTTTACAGTTCTTTAAAAAAGTATTCAAGGAAAATTAAAAACAGAGGCTGAAAAAGCACCTTTTTAAAGGACAGTGGTCTCTCTGATTTACAAAATTATCATAATCGTTTTCTGAAGTGGAGAATGGGAGATAAGGAAAGATTGTTTGGTATGCTTTATCTTTTTAACCCTAAGACTTGTCTGTATAAGGAAATCATTTTTTAATGTGTCTGTGGCTTCTGTATTTGGCTCTCTGCCCTTTTCATCACTATCACTTAGCCAGATACGAGTATCACCTGCTTCTAGCAATCTCCCTCCAGAGCAGCCTAGGAATCCAAGGCAACACATGCAAGTCTGCAACCACCGCGCACAGGAGAGGATGGAGGAAACCTGCAGTGATGGCCTTTCCCAGTTACATATGAGACATGAACACTGACGCTGATTGTGACTGACAGTTTTGTGCCCTGTCAATCAACTCTAACATAAGCCATCTTTTCAATGTGTTACAAAAACAGAATAGAGGGCCTACTTAGAAACAGCACTCTTAGGAGATAGAAGTATGTAATGATCTTCATAATGACTAACATCCTATAGCATCTTAAAGAAAATTTAGTACATAAAGAAAATAACATTAATCTCAAACCAAAAGCATGCTTTGTCTATGTAAAAGCTATAGTAATTAAAATGTAGTATGTAAATTGCTTTACCTTCATGCCTAATTACCTTACAGCACAATAATGATTACAAGATTATTTTGATCAGATTAACTTTGGCCGGTGTAATTATAGCTGTGTATACCAAATATTCAGGCTTTGGGATTTCCTGTTTTTTAAACAATTATTAACTGAGCCCTTTATATGTTGGGCACTACACTGAAAATAAAAATTCTAGTGTCCAAGATGTTTACACTCTTGTTGAAAGAAAGAGATAAGGATGTCTAGTGGAGAGTGATGACACACACAGCACAAACACACATACGCACACAGGCACACCCATACACACCATTTTCAATAAAGCTGAAGATATCCTAAGAATATCAATAAATCCTAGACCTAGTGAGATGATTGAGGCTTTAATAAAGGGAAAGTAAAGCTGATTCCTGAAGGAAAGGTTAGAATGAATTAGAGCTCTAAAGCAAAGTAAACAGGAAATGTAGACCTCAGGCCTGAAAACAGCAGAGACTATGAGGTGCTGCTCTCCTGAAACACAGTACATGGGAAGACTTAAGATAGTGAAGATTAATGAAGAAAGAGCTAGTCAGGCTGAAGACTGGCCTTGACTATTATGTTAAAGAGCTGGTCTCATCAGGACTGGCTGCATCATCTTTCTCTGTGGCCTGGCAAGGCTGACCCCCGCCTCCAGGGGAGGTGATCAAACTGAGTCCATCAGAGACAGCCCCTGCTCTCCTCACTAGGGAACCCACATGGTGGCTGCCTATGGTGAGCAGTCTGAGCAGGGGTGATAGGCTAAGGTCAGACAGTAGGGGAGGAGGACTTCCCCTATCAGTGGACTAGGGGAGGGGAATAGGGGGAGAAGAGGAAGGGAGGGTGGGACTGGGAGAATATGAGAGAGGGAGCTACAGCCAGGACACAAAGTGAATACATTATAATAAATAATACATCAATAAAAATAAAAGAGCTGGGAATCTGGCTGCTAAGGGGGAAGCACTACAAGACTGTCAGGACAGTCAGAGTTCAGATTTCCATGTTAGATGCATCTCTTTGGCTTCTGTGCACAATGAAGTGGTAGAGCTCACACCAGAGAGCTGTCAGAAGCCAGCTGAAATCATTTTAGAGATAGATACTGGCACTATCTAGGTAAAGCTGTGAAGAATTGAGAGAACTAGATGGAGTTGACAGATACATAACAGTTACAACTGAAATGTCTTAGTGATTGATTGGATATAGGAGAAAAAGAGTAGTTGAGGATGGCTTTTTGACTTAGGCAAAGACATGACAGCATGGCACTTACTAAGACAGAGAAAAGGCAGTTTGATAAGGTTTTTGTTTTCATTTTTAATTTTGCTGATTTTGGCAGTGGGACTAATAAAGCATTATGACCTATGAGTTTTAACCTAACTGAGACTTATGTATCTAGAGCTCTCAGGTAGGTTACTGAGTGCATACGTCCAAGGCTAGGGAGAAAACTCAGTTTAGATATATATTTGAAATAGAGCAATTTATATCATTTTGAACCCATCAGACAGTAAAATGATATTTGCCTCATAAAGAAACAAAGTTTTGTGAGATGAGATAAGTACAAATTAAGAAAAATATAGAGAAGATACAACCTCATGTAAGGAGCAAAGCAAGAAAACATAATCACAAATGTCAGGAAAAGAACAGTTTAAGAGGGATTATGCAGTCTCCAAAGTAAACTGTGATGAAGACTACACAGTGGCATCATATATTTTGAAACGTAATACGAATAAAATCAAGAAAAATCCTACTGTGCCTGTCCACTGAGACAAAAGACAGCATGCAAAAACATTTTTGAAAGAGAAAGAAAACAGAATTCATTAGACTGTTCTTCTTCAATAGTTCACAGAAGTTGAGAACAAAGTAGATGTATACAAAGACTGAAATACTACAAATAAAAATACAAGTTATAGAACATATGCACACAAAGCACCTGGTATTTTTAATCTATTTCTTTATGTATATTTACATACACAGAGATTGATGCAGAAAGTTTACAGGAATATAAAACAAACTTAAGTCCAATGGTTAGTCTTGTCTTAAAGAAAGTTGGTATGTGGTTATATGTATGGCCAAGAGGCTTATATCATTTAACAATTTTTACAGTATCAGTATTTACAGATATTATAAGTATAATTAAAAATACATTTTAGCTGATGTGCTGGCTCATGCCCATAATCTGAACACTTGAAAAGTCTTAGAGGCCAGCGTAGGTTATATAGCAAAATAGTGTAAAAAAATTTTATATATATATATATATATATATATATATATATATATATATGAAAGAAAGAAGGAAGACATCTTAAGATGTTATCAACTCTGTGCAGGTGAGATATCTGAACAAGAAAAAACATTTGCCCTGCAAACCTGATACTTGGAGTCCATGGTAGAAAGAAATAATCAACTTCCAAAAATTGTTCTGTGACTTCCATAAATGCACCATGCACCACGGTGTGCATGTCTGCACACATACACACTCGAAAAAAGAGGAGGAGGAGAAAGGGTAGGAAGAGGAGGAGGAAAAGAAGAAACAAAAATTCAAAATCCTGACAAATATATTTTAAATGTAGATTGAGTAAAATTTAAACCAAAATACTCATTTAAAAATTAGCAGATATTTAAGAACTTTAATAAGAAATGGTTTGTAAAAATGAAGCAAGCAGAAAACAATATATTGAGACAAAGTGGGAAGGAAAACATTAAATAAAATAAAAAATCCAAAAAGACTGGTAATGGCAGAAATACAAAACAGTGAAGGATATTTCATGAGAGATAAAAAAAACAAAACAAAACAAAAAAACAAAAAAAAAATACTTGAAGCCTCACTGCTTACAGCTTAGAAAAAATAAAAAAACACTGAGGGAGTCAAATGTGAAAAACTAGTAGTCACATCTCCCTAGGAAATTCACTTGTCTAGAAAATTACCAAAATAAGAATCTGGTTCAGAACTACTTCCTCAGGAAGACAGCTCTAAGTCTGGTTAAATAGCATGATAAGCCCTTGGCTTGGGACAAAACAAGTAAGAAAACAACTTTGAATCACAGAAAAATCCTTGATGTCTTTTGAAAGACACATTGAGCAGAAGAGGCAATACAGCAATAAAGCTTGCAATATTTTGCTTGCAACCTTTGGAGGAATTAATCAGAACACCTACAAGAAAGCTTTCCATTTACCTGCCTGACATGCTTGGCTGCAGCTATTTTAAATTATATCAGGAACCCAAATAGCTTTTGAATAAACAGCCCTCACCTTAAGAGTTCTACCTGGAGGACAGGCAAATTGTTCCTTTGCTGGATCCTACACGCAGCTTTCTGAGAGTCCGAGGAAAAGAGCCAGCTTCGATCATTTGAACATGGAGCATCAACCAACACCTGGAGGGAACAAAAACAATGCAAACAAACTTAGGATGAGGTATGTGGAACAGCTATAGGACGAACCATATATAAATAAAACCACTGCCTTAGGGAACCAAGATTCGACACTCTAAGTCCTTTTATATATTTGCCTCAGTTGACAAAAAATTATTTGCAGTGTCTTCAGTGGAGAGAAGAAACATGAGCAGGCTAAGCATCTATTTATTAATTGAATTTAATAATATTCTTTTTTCTTTTCTTTTTTGGTTTTTCAAGACAGGGTTTCTCTGTGTAGCTGTTGCTGTCCTGGAACTAACACTATAGACTAGGCTGGCCTAGACTCAAGAGATTCACCTACCTTCCATTTATTGGCATTAAAGGCATGCACTAACACACTTGGCTGAATTTAATATCCTTGATGACTATAGCTAAAGCTTACAAAAGTTACTCAACTTCAGAAAACATAACTGTTATTTCTGAACTCGTGAGTATTTTTTTCATATCTTAAAAAAATTTTACACTGTTGGAGGCTGAACCCAGAGTCAGTGTTTATTTTTAAGAATTAAAAATTCAATTTTAATTTACTGAAATGAGTAAATATCACACTCTGATATGAAATGTTTCTGAATTAAAGTAAAATGTACAAATGTTTTTTACTGGTTCAAATGATAACTGATCATTTCCAGAGTAACTTTGAGGTACCAGAAAACAGAAACCTTTCTATAATAGCCAAACCCGACATCAATGTTTCCATTGACCCATACTAAGCATCAAATGAAAAATGCCCCCATATCCACTGTATCACAATCTCCCAGAGCACTGAGAAATGTACCATCTGGAAGCAGACAGAAAAGAACAACAGAGCAACACAATACCGTCTCACTGGTAGGGTGTCAGGTTTTCACAATACAATAAAAGTACCTTGTCAAATGTTTCAGGCTGGGCATCTCCCATAGCTCTGCCATCCAATTCCGACACTTTAATTACATTTATCAAAGGTTGTGGGATGAAAGATTCCAATGTCTGTCTCAGCCATCTCACTCTCAAGCTATCATATTCGTTACAAAGAAGATAACCTAAATATAAAAGATTAAAAAGTGTTCCAACACAATGGCATTGGTAAATTTCTACTTTTAGCAAGTAAACTTCAGGAAAAAAAAATCAATGCTTCAGATTTACATAGAGATATAGCTCAAAGGTAAACATTATATAATTTTAAAAACAATACATACATACTTTATAAAATATTTACACAATGTTTTGCCTCATGTCCTCCCAAAAGCTCTCATGCTTATTCAATCAAATTTAGTTTGAAAACTTACAGATTCCTAGATATGCTTAACAACAAATACCTCACATACAATTTTCACCCTGAAGTACCAGCTGTTGAAAATAAGCAATATATTCTGATAGGCATGTAAAGTTTCTTGCTGGTACAATATAGTCATTTTAAATGAAGGTAATACAGTACATATACATATACATATATATATATATATATATATATAGACACACACACTATATTATATGCAATTATACAAGCTCCCAGTAAGAGAAACATGGGTTCAAAAAGTGAGCTGAGAGCCTAGGAAAGTTAGTTAGCTGAGTAACAGCCTTGGTTTCCTTGTGGGGACTGGTAAAGTACAGATCATACATGCATAGTGGCTGTTATGATTAAATGTGACAGAAACTGAGAAAGAGATGGTGGCTGAAGAAAACCCTTCAGTGTCTTCCCAGAGAGATACTGCATTGAAAGGTTTGGGAAGCCAGGTGAGAGATAGTGTCTGGTTTTAGCACTGAAGAAAGCAGAAAAGGAAGAGGTGTCCTTGTCAACATCCCTCCAATTCTAGGCAGTGTGATGAAAGAGATCTGTCCTGCTTGGGAGAAGGGAAAGTTAAGAAGTCCAGATGTAGGCTTGAAACCCAGTAGCACGGCCTGTCCCAGACAGTCTCACAGCCCTCACAGCTAGTCTAGTACTTGCAGACTAAGGCTACACACTCTCCTTAGCCAGGCAGCTACATGCTGACACCATTCCTCCACCACCCTTGGGAAGCAGACTAAGAAGCCAGACTCCAACCTGGAAGACAAACAGAAAACTGAACAGGGGACTTTGCCTTTGCGCAGAATGCTAAGACCACCACGGTGGATCCAATTCCACTTGCTCAGACCAAAGCTTAGACATGGAGCCCTGAGTCATGCCTAGTGTCATGGGAAGGTGTTTACGTCTGTGGGGCAGACTTGTGTGTATATCACCATTAGATACACTCTTGATACTGTTCAGTACCTCTCTGTGAAATTCAGATGAAATCAAGTCTGGTAGCCCAGGAAAAAATCTATACTCCTTCCACAACCTGGAGGACAAACAAACAAATGGGATTCATCCTACTAACCAGTAAGAGAAGTGAGCACAGGAATTTCCCTAAGAACTGGAAGTGATACGTTATTATGAAAATACATTGAAAGAGACTAACTTCTGAAACTCATAGGCAGAGTTAACAATACACTTTGAGGTTACTTAAAACCGGCATCTTAAGATAAGGACTTAAGACTGAGTACTATGTACTCAGCCTGTGCCTTTAAGAGAAAATTGTAACAATCAGCCTTAATTGTGGAGTTCCTATGTAACTAGTTTTTATAATCTAAGCAAATGCATAGCTGAAATATTAAATATATACATTTCCATGCCCCTGGCCCACAAGTAATGCATGTGTGAATATACATTATGGTATTAAATGCTAAAAATAGAGAGGCTGAAAATAAGGTTTTAAAGCAAATATTCCTAATGACTATTGGGAATGTCATTCATATGGGTGATAGGTCTGTTTGCAGTGGTGTTTGCAGCATTGTTTGTTGGGGTCAGCTGAACTCAGTGAAGTTTCATCCCTTGAAAACTCTGCTCTAAAATCCTGTATCACTTCCCATGTATGTTTTCTGTGCTGTTCAAATAACTACAGATGGAAGTTCTTTGTTAGGGATACAGACATGGACACAGAAGCAAGGATAAAAAAGACAAGACAGCAGTCAGGCATGCACAGCTTCAGACTCATATAACAGAAGAAAGACAGGAGAAATGATGGAAGACACAGGAAGAGAGAACAGAGAAGTCAAATATCGGCTCACTCTTGGTAAAACTACTCCAAGGGCATTGTTTTGATTTCTTTTCGTTAATACATTTGAGGTATGTTGAGATTGTTACCAATATGTTAAAATTGATGCAAAAACTCAATGCCAGGCTGGTAAAAGTAACACTGGGAAGATTCTAGCAATCCTAATCTACAAGCCAGTGACTGTGACAGAGCTCCTAAACCTGCCTTAATGCAACCATCAACTAAACTTTTAACCTTGCCAGCATCTCTTGTGGCTGGTTGTAGATGTTCTGGACCATGACTGAACATAAATCTACCTAAAGAACAGACAATATATAGCAAGGTAGGGCTCAGTGTCCCACTGCTATGGTGGTCTTGGTAGGCTGTGGGCTCTAGGTATAACCCAAGGTTACAGTATTTTTAACCATGGAACTAGCCACTCCGTTTCCTCCCTGACTCCAGACAAAGCAGAGGGCGCAGCTGTCTACCTCAAGGCAAGTAAAGAGGGGTACTGGGCTGGCGAGATGGACAGTGGGTAAAGGAATCTTCCGCAAAGGAGTGTGAGTTGAGTTTGAGCCACAGATGCACAGAAGAAGACAACTAACTCCTGGAAGTTGATCCCGTGGATACACATGTTGGAGGAGATAGCTGACTACTGCAAGTCAGTTTGACCTTAAGTCAAACCCTGGCAAGTATACATGTGTGGCCCCAATGCACGCATGTGTGCATACACACACAAGTCAATGTAAAGAAAGGAGGTTTGTTTATTTATTTATTCATTTATTTATTTATAAGAAAAGAGGAGGGAGTTGTGCATCAATTTGCATCAAGCCACCAAGTAAGAACCTGGCTCTGTCCTTTCTTGTGTGGCACACAACCAGACATAGCTTTAGTGCCTGACCATTGACCAGTGAATGGCTGAGCCATATGGGTCTACCCCAGCTTTGGAGTAAGGTTTGTAATGACAAACTACTACATTTAGACACACCTGTAGTTCATTCTGAACTACATACTATGTGACAAAATGAGGCTTGAGGAATCAGGTTGCTGAGCCAGCAACAGTAATGAAAAACAAAACAAACAAACAAAAAAGAAAAACCGAACAGTCGAATTGTAATAAACCTAGATTTATGGTGCCATCTAGTGCTCAAGTACCAGAAAGGCCCAAGACTCATGCTAACCACTTAGAATTTCTGAAAGAGCAGGCATAAACACAGCTAGAGCACAAAGACCTGATAAAATACCTAATGTTTAAGCACAGACAAAGTCATATGTTAAGCTTCAGAAATCTTTACGGAATCCTGATCACATCTAATGGATAAAAAAAGACAAGAAACTGAACATAAAACAAGCAGCACCTGCATAATGGAAAGAGCCAAAAGTAGCACGTTTAGGTTAACACAGAGAATCAACTTAATACCTAAACAGATAAACAAAAGAATAAAGGGACTCTAAAACATCAAACAACTCAGAAGGGGAAAATAGAATCTACTTCAAAAGTGACTGAAAAGAGGGAACTCGGTGGGGGAGGGCATGGGGATAGGAATGAGGGTAGGGAAAAGATGTGGGGAGAGTGGGGGAGGGAAGAGGGCAGGGTGAGAGAAGTGAAACCAGTGGGGGAGGACATCTTGGAAACAAACTGGAGAACTTCCACAGAATAGGTAGGCTCCTGGGAGGATATGGGGTGACTCTAGCTGAGACTTCTAACTTCAGGGGACATGGAGACTGAAGTGGCTACCTCCTAGCCAGCCAGGACTTCCAGTGGAGAGAGGAAGATACCAACCCACGCATAAACTTTCCACCCCAAATTTACCTTGTCTACAGATGTGCAGGGAAAAAGACGGAGCAGAGAATGAGGGAATGGCCAACCCATGACTGTTCCAACTCGAGACCAACCCCACAGAGACAGCCAACTCCTGGCACTATTAATGATGCTCTGCTACGCTTGCAGACAGGAGCCTAGCATAGCTGTCCTCTGAGAGACTCCAGCAGGACTCTGCTGCTTTCCCCTAACTGGGCTGCCTTTTCTGGCCTCAGTAGAAGAGGATGTGCTAATTCCTGATGCACCTTGATGTGCTGGGCTGGATTTGTAGTGCAGGAGTGGTGGTGGTGGCTCCCCTTTCCTGCGAAAAAGGGGAGGAGGGAAAAGAGGGTGGAGTTTAGGATGGTGTAACTGGGAAAAGAGGAGGGAGGGGGCTGTACTGGGATAAAAAAAAATGAATAAATTTAATAAAATATTTTTAAAAAATCAAAAAAATATTTAAATGCAATAAAAGGCAGTAACAGCAGAGCAGATCAAACAACAACAAAATGCCAGTTGCCTTGAAAGCAGATTATTTGAAAACATACTGTTGAAAAAAAACGAAACAAATAAAAGGGGTGGAGATGAAGAAAGTCTGTGAGAATTTGATGTTACTATCAAAAGAGCAAAAGTATGAGTTGTAGGGGTTCAAGAAGGAAGTAAGGACATCGATGGAGTAGAACACACTTCACTAGAAATCTCCCCAAATCTAGAGAAAGATACAAAAATCCAGACACAGGGATGTCAATGGTCACATCAGATCCAACACAACCAGATTCACCTTGAAATATATTATGACAAGCCCTCAAAGGTTAAATAAAAGCATAATACTAAAATACTAAATACTAAATACTGAAATACTAAATACTGAAATACTAAATACTGAAATACTAAATACTGAAAAAATGTCTACAGATTTAAAGGAATAGCTTAAAGAGTAAATATAACTAAACAAAGGGTTCGTTCTAATTGTTCCTACTACCAAAAGTTAACTACATGGGTAAACCATACCACTGGAAGTAGGAGAATTTCACTCTAGATGGACTACAGTCCTTGTGGAGAAGCTTGACCATGCCACTCCATTAAGTTGCATCATCCTTGGTTAACAGTTCATGTTTTACTATTTAGGATCATAATTGTTTGCTCTTTTTCAGTAAAACCAGCACAACTCAAAAGCTGTTTTAATTAAAAAAGAAGAAAGACAGCCCATCACTGTCGTGTAGGTGAAAGCAACTGGATCAACAGACAGACAAGTAAGCTAATTCTTTAATCACCTTAAGCTATTTCACCAATCAAAGCCTCCAGCTTTGTTGCCTAAGATAATGTCTAGTGTGGATGTCATGAAATTCGCTGTATGAACTGCACATAAAGCCATTATTTTAAGTTTTGATTTTCTGTAAGCACTGACTAGCATTGCTTCTGCATTCCACATTTGAATACTGTGGCTAACTGAATTTGGGCTTAAAATATCAGCATGAAGACAACAGTGACTTGTAGGGAACCATTATCATTAGTCCTACTTAGATAGAAAGCTTCTTCATTTGGAACACTGCTGGTATGATAGTTCACTGTCTTAGAGGGCACTCTTCCCCTCTTCAAAGTCCTAGAATGTTATCCGTTTGCCTTTGGATTCCTGAGCCATCACCTTCCTCACTACAAATGGGTAAAGTATCTATAACTTATGCATGAGGTGGGTTAATATTAAAATGCCACTTGTCAAAATGGAATGAGATTCAGATATTTCTTTTCCACTTTTTAAAATATTAAACAGTCTATACCTGAAATTTATAAGCTTGTAAGAATCGATATAAGTACATCATAAAGGAACACATAAATAGTGGGTATAACAAATACTCCTTGTAATAAATGATTCCAAGCACAGCTCAGATTATAAAAATAATAATGTAGCCTTATTAAAATGTAGCCTTATTATTTATTTTTATTTCTTATGCCAAAATACAGAAAGCTTCAGTCGTAGAGTTATATCAGAAATTTAAAACATTCAGGTTTTTTTTTCTCCTAAAAATCAATATATTGATATCACTAGCCAAGTACAACTGGCTTCATATTTTGAACATGTTTCCAAAATTTTTTATTTCAACAGCAAATGTTCTCAAAGGAAGAGGTAACTTAGCAGTCTACAAGCTACAGCATGCATTTCCTGGGAAAAATAATACCTTTCTAAGAGACAGGCAAGCTTGGAGGATCTGAACAAACCACTTTTTAATCATCCACTTTTTACAGACATCTTCTTACACATGGCCATTCACCAATTTTACAAATAAAAAAAAAAGTAAGCTTCTCACTCAGTCATAATCTAAAGAAAGAATGTGCTAGAGTTTAGAAGCCTCCAATACATCCAAAAAGTACAATTTAAAACACGAAAAGGCTGAAGACAAGGCTCAGCTAGTAAGAGTTCTTGCTGCTCTTTTAGAGGACCAGAGTTTGAGTGTCCTTGGCTGCTGGCTCACAGCTGCCTCTATTTCCAGCCTACTCAAAGCTCCCTTCTGACCTCCTTGGGTACTTGTTTGTGCGTGCACAAACAAGGTTGTTTAAAAGGATGAAAAAGCCTCTGTGCTACACTAACTCCAGAAAGTCTGTATAGCATAAGCATGTGTTTATGCAAGCATAAAATTATGCAAACAGATGAGAAGACACGTTTCCTACGGGAATCAGCTTCCTGGAAGTCCCTAGCAAAGAACCCTAACATGGCCATCTAAGCCAAAAGACGTATTTTAAGTCCCACGCTTACTTGGTCGCAGGATTAAATTGATTAGCTTTTTTGCTGTTTCTCTATTATTCTTGAAACAGTACAATTAACTATTCAAGGAAACATTTCTAATAGATCACTAAGAGCTTTAGCAAATAAGAGTAGAAGAAAAATAAAATTTAGGAGACGTAATAAATCAGATTCAGCATCAGGAATTGCTTGTGGAAAAACCAAACATTGTAGGTAGTAAAAGGACAAGAGTTTTAGGGCTTTCTAAAGAAAATGTTTAATCAGGATCTGTTAGGATAAATGCTCTGGATATTCCCACCGCAGTAAAGCTACTACAAAACCATTACCTAACACAGGTATTCATGATGAGGCAGAAAGAAGATAGGCAAACATAGGAGGTCAAAAAGTTTTGTATTATACTGTAAGTTTTACGGACAGGCTAGTTCAAGCATCTTATCTAAGGAAAGATTGTAAATCATTAGCCGACCTAGTTCGGAGGATTATTAACAACCCCTAATTAACTAACAATAAACTACGTAAACAGACCACAAGTTTAACAAGCCCCTGGCCCTCTACTTGCTAAATTGGCAAACAAGTCACTAGTTCTATGTTTGCTCTGCTTAAGAGGCTGTTAGGCCAAGATTTTTTGTAGACACTGCTTCTACCAGGTTACTCTTTCAGTTAAAATATAAACTTTATAAACGTTCCAGGGGATATGTCAACTTTAAGGTGCTTCTTTGTAAGATTACTATAAAAGTGTTGGCTTGACTTCAGTAAAATGCAAAAGATCCAAACCAATACCACCTGGTGTGGGTCTGACTGTCATTTCGCCTATCTGTGCCTTCCTGATATCCAAATTCCCTGATTCTCCCTTAGACGCGGGGCACCCGAGGGGGCCGGTCCTAGGCACCTCTGATTTCTTTGTTGAGAATGTGCTAACAACTAAGCAAGTAAATAAATGGGCTTCAGGTTCACTGTTGAAAAACTGGAAATCATATTTTAAAGTGTGCTCACCTAACAGATCATTAAAATAATGCCTGCTGCACCTGGCTACTTGCAAACATCACTCAGAAGAAATTTAAACACCATTGTGACCATTATAGCACAGCCCTCAGTATTACTGTTTTTCATCTGTGTGAACAATATATAAAAATAAGATCATAAAACACAACCAAATACAATTGCAACTGACTTTGCCTCTTGTCATAATAACTAACATCCAGAAAAACTAGGACTATGGTTTTAAAAATTTTAGCAAAATAATACCTATATTATTAAGAAAGTCATTTACAATGAAATGGACTTATTTTGTGTGTGCATGTATGTGTGTGTGTGTACATGTTCATGAATGTCACTACATGGGTAGTTAAGCAGCATGTAGAGGGAGCAAAGGTTGAAATCTTTGTCCACTGCTCTCCACCATAGCCCCAGGACCTTCTTGTCTCAGTGCTAAGATTCCAGGCAAAAGTCAATACTCATAGTGTTTTCTTTTAAATGTGAGTGCGGTGAAGCCAAGCTGATTAAGTCCTCATGTTTACATGGCAAGCACTGTACTGGCTGAGACATATCCCCAGCACCTAGACTTTATACCAATATTAACAACAATAATAATGTCACTATAGAAGAACTTACTGCATTGTTTAGTACTAGCTTCTTTTGCCATATGTGGTTAGTAGAACTTGCCTGTCCTCTAGGAATAAAATAATTTCAGACCTCTAAGTGTAAAATACTTCCTCTAACACCTTTATTGTGATTGTGTGATCAAGTGTTATTACCTAAGTACTCTGAAAAATGTCAAATTATTTTCACCTCTGGTGGTTCTCCTCCTGCCTGGGAGTTGCCTCCCAGCAGCGCCTCAAATTCAGGAGGGGCAGGAAACTAGAATGCCTGGAATGGCCTGCAAGAACCCTACAAGGATCAGACACCCTGTGAACAGCTGATGGCAAGTTCAACTTTAATTCCAGAGAACAGAAGTTATATACCCCTAGGGGAGTGGGTAGGGGGCTCCAAGAAGAGGTGTACATAATTGGTTGGAATTAGGCACTTTAAGGATGCTTGATTTGCATTATACAGCACACTCCTATCATATGAATAGAATGTCAGTACCTAATTAACATATAGGCCCACAAAAAGGAGAGCAACAGAGGCCACACACCCAGGGTAGTTAGGGAAGTCTGTATCTAAAGATACTGTCCAGATGAAGTCAGGCAGAGCAGAGATCCTGTGGAGGGGAGGGAGTTCTGCCTTTAGTGCCCAATTCAAAATGGCTATCCGGTCCAGGCAAGAACTGCAACCTCAACCAGCAGGGTACCTCCAGAAACCTCTTGCTACTTCTCAAATAAGAATATTCAATGCAGTGTCCAAGTGGGTGCCCTAGTAATGGGAACAGGGACTGCTTCTGACATAAACTGATTGGCCTGCTCTTTGATCACCTCCCCCTGAGGGGGGAGCAGCCTTACCAGGCCACAGAAGATGACAATGCAGCTATTCCTGATGAGACCTGATAGACTAGGATCAGAAGGAAGGAGAGGGGGACCTCCCATATCAGTGGACTTGGGGAGGGGCATGCATGAAGAAGGGGGAGGAAAGGTGGGATTAGAAGGGGAGGAGAAAGGGGCTTACAGGGGGATACAAAGTGAATAAAGTGTAATTAATTAAAGTTAAAAAAAGAACAGAACTGATAGAATGAATTTATACATATCATATAAATATAAATAATACATAATTATAAATATATTTATATAAAATAAATATAAATTATATATTTAAAAAAAGAATATTCGAAAACTTGAACTTCTGTACATAATCTACTGAACAGAACCCCTTTAGAACCACATGGCTTAAGGAATAACGCAACACAATAGTTTTAAATGGATTTACAAAGAGCTATGACAATGACATCCAGACAAACCTGTCAAGTGTAAGGAATTCAGTGGCAGAGTACTTACTCAGTCTGAGAGAAACCCTGAGTGCCATCCCCAAGTGAAACTAAACACAAAAAGCTAACGGAAGTCCCCAAACCTTCTGCAATTAGCTTATGAGCATTCCCTTTTATTCTCTGGGAGATTTATGTTCCCAAAATGTACTTTTGTAACCAGACAACAGGAAAACAATGCTCTGTACACTTATTTCCTCGGCTGTAGTTTTCATTCTTACTCATGGTTTCCTCTTATTCTGGCTTCCTAACTGAGCACACTCATTCTCACATTCCTCTTCATATATTTTCAAGGTACTTGAAATGCTGATATGTGAAACAATGTGAGGTGTAGAAAGAACAGACAATACCTGGATATGCACACTGCAGCAGAGCTACGGATTTGCCCCCAGGAGCGGCACACAAGTCCAGGACTGCCTCCCCATCACTCAGTTCCAGAGCCAGGACTGGCAGAAGAGAAGCAGCATTGAGGAGATAGTACTTTTTCAAGTTTCCAGTCTGATGTCGTTCTGAAGGCATTCGATCTGGAGTTCGGCTGAGGTAGCACTTCATTGATTTAGGATAATATGGTAAAGAGCCTTGAAGGGTTCGATAGCCCCTCAAATATAAGTCTTTTTCCAGTTCAAAAGGATAATTGAATCGGTTGAAGAGGACAGCATATTGCCACAGTGATGGAGATATTAGAATATCCCTATGGCAGCAACAGAACAATAAATGAGTAGCAGGATCACGAACTAGTGTGATTTTAACAACTGATAGTGTGAATGTGGTCGTAGGTTTACACTTGATTTACCTGTGATTTTTCAGACAGAATCTGCAATGGTTATTCTGCACTGCCAGTGACTGGGCTGAGAAACAAGTAGATTTAGTAATGCACTCCTCTGGATGTGTCTGCGAGATGATTAGTTGGTGAGGCTCTTGCCTAATCAATAGATTAATCCCTGGTGGGTTCATATACAATCCGTAATTGGAGATGATGAAAAGCCAGATGTGGGCCTGGTTGGGAGGTAACAATCACTGGGGCTGTGTCCAGGGGAGGTAAATGTTGCCACAGCCTCTCCCATCACCTTTTCTGTATCCAGGCCCTGATGATGAGAGTGGCTTTGGTCCACTAAGTTCTTCCCACTGACTGTGAACTGACACTTCTAAATCTATGAGCAGAATAAGTCCATCACTTTACATCACTTCCATAACTTACTCTGACACAGCAACCTAAAAACTGACTAATACCGGATTGGTCTTCTTGACTTTTCCTTTTGCCTCAGAAGGCTCTGACACAGCTCACACTGATTCTACTTAAAAATATGATTTTCTTCATTGTAGCTTATTTTAAAATTAATTTTGATTAATGTATTAGGATTGCAAAGAGGCTGGGAAGAAGGTAGAAGGTAAGAGAACTTGCTTTACAAACGTGAGTATACCCAGCAGCCAGCTACAAAGTCAGGAAGGCTATGCATACCTATAAGCCCAGCCCTAAGGGGCAGACGGCTGAGCTCCCTGCCAGGTAACAGCGAGCTTGCAGTTCTATGAGAGACACTATCTCCAGGCTGTAAGGCAGAACACAGTTGAGGAAGACACCTGAAGTTCTGTTCAAACCTCTGCATGATGGGCAGATACACACACCTGTACCAGCATGTGCAACGGCATACTCACATGCATACAGCACAGAAAGATATCTCTCTCTCTCTCTCTAACACACACACACACACACACACACACACACACACACTTAAGCTGTAAATCATAGAGGAATGCCTTACTTCCTTCTGAAGTACCCACTGAAGTCTTGCCCTCTAAAAGCAGCACAGCTAGATTTTACATAGCTTTGAATCTGCCAGAAGGTGTTTTTGGTGGGAATAGAGATGGGTCAGTAAGACTCATCTTGGAGAGGAGCCACATTACAGTTCTCGGGACCCACATGACAACTCACAACTGTATGTAGCTCCCTTTCTGGCCCCTGATGCGTCCTGCACACACGGCACACATAAACTTGTACAGGCTCAAATTTAATAATGACAGACCTTTCAAAACATAAAATGGAGGAAAAATGTTTTTGTCTGTCAGCATTTGCACAAAGAAAGATTTTCCTTAGTTAAAGGAATTTAAAGCCAGGGACTCTTTACAGTAGAGGGAAAAGTACTATCACAAAAATAATGTTTGAAGGGTGAGCATTAAGCTCTTTTCCAACAGCAATAAGGGTTTGCAAAGCTACCTTTGGGGAAACTCTCCAGTAATAGAATTAATGAGGTGACAAGAGGCTCAGATGATACAGACCCAAGGATGATTTAAGCATCGCTTATTGGACTTATGGCACAGGCTTCCCCAGCAGCTTTTCCTTCATAGATTTGTATTCCAGCAACAATTAGGTCTCTTGACAATCACAAGCTCACATCAACCGACAGATGATGCAGCAGGAAACATTTAATTTATTTACTAGCTGACCTTTCTGGCTCAGTTATTTGGGAGTCTCATTAACCATGGTCAATTAAATAAATTCCAGCTGCTACTCACCCTGAAGTTGCTTATGTGAGAAATGGCTGGATTGAAATGTAACACCTGTGACTCATGCACGCCATGTGAATTTCAATTACACCCCAAATGTGGGCTGCCTTCACCTTTCATTGCCTCTTGCTTACTACAGACCGTACATCTATTGTATTTATTTTGCCACTGGATCCTGCTTGGAGTTACTGATTCAGCAGAATCAGGCCTGAAATTTTTGTTTCTTTTAAAGAAAACTCATTTTGTAAAAATGGTGACTCATTTACTTATCTGTGTGTGTATACAGTGTATGGTGTGCATGTGCAAAAGTGTGGGCGCATATACATCTCAGTGTGCATGTGGAGGCCAAACAACAACTGGGCATCAGTAGTCACCCATGTGCACCTTCCTGGAGGCAGGGACTCTCGTTTCTGCTGCTGCACTCAGCTGTCATGAGTGCAACTGAGTGCACTCACTTCCTGGAGGCTGGCCAGCCCTCCAGCTTTCAAGTAAATCGCCTTCCTCCAGTTCCTATTTTGCTCTAGCACTGCTGAGATTTTAGATGTGTGCAGTAGTGTTTAGTGAACATGAGCTGAGGTCATGCTTGCTCAGTAAGCATTTCTTTTATCTACCCCACCCAGAGTCCGAAAATCTAGTTTCTAACAACTTTTCAGGTGGTACAATGACCTCTGTTCTTTTGGAGCACACTTTGGGAACTACAGCTTTAGCACAGACAGCAAACTGAAATTGAGACTGTCACTATACATTTTAAGAATTTGTGTACCACTCACATTCCCCACACTGGATGGAAATTTGCTCAATGCTGACAGTCGTGTGCAACAGTCTGGAGTGGCTCAGCTTACATCACCTGCACAGCTCTTAAGAAACAAGGGGTACTCTCAACTCTTTGGTCTCAGACAGTGTTTCTTTTAAGAAATACCCAAAGATATTCTTGGATTTTTATTTTTTCAAGGGAATTTAGGAATCAATTGATCAGGTAAAAAAACAAAAGCTAAACAAAACAACAACAACAACAACAACAACAAAAAAAACTGTGGCACATACTCATAATCCCAAAAGTCAAGAAGGTAAGGCAGAAGGATCACAGTAAGTTCAAGGCCAGACTGGGTTATTTAATGAATTCCAGATTGTGCTAGAGTGAGAACCTCCTTAAAATTAGGGAAAGTATGTTGGGGAACTGAGAGGCTGTGATTTGATGTACTGTAATAGAGAAGAATAAATAGAAGAAAAAAAAGAGAAGAAAAAGTATAGGAATCGTGTATATAGAAAGTTCAGTAAGGATTATATTAAAAGCATTAAACTTGGGGGAGGATTAACATTGCCATTGCATTCAGTCATTCTAACCCCCAAAAGGTTGTTTTTACTTATTAAGATATTCTTTGAGCTTTCTTAGTAGAAGAATAATGTTTATGAAGGATTATTAGTTTTGGAACATCCTTGTCCTTGACTATTATCTAATATGCTAATTGAAAAAAACAAGAAGTTCCAGGACAAAAGCAACTGCACATGCTCAGGTGTGAGGAAGGGCTGGCATCCCATTGTGGTGTTGGCTCATGGTGGATGATATGGACAGAGTGGCATTTAAAACTTTGAGTTAGTGAAAGGGAGTGATTCACAGACTTAAGGATGAGAGACATGTGGTTATAATGTTCTTGTGAAATGTATACAATTTACTATTGTTCATTCAAATGGTGATATCTCTACCCCACTATCTAGTTTCAATCCAGACATTGCAGTGTGTAAACATGCCACCATTTGTTCTTTGTATTGTCAATAAAACAATCAGCCACAATGCTGAGCAAGGGAGAGAATAGGGTGGGAGATCCTGGTCCAGAGGGGAGGAGAAGAAAGCGAGGGGGGGGGAGGAGGAGGAGGAGGAGAGCAGAGATCTGCAGGAGAGGTCTTAGAACCATGAGGAGAGATGAACCAGACCTAAGATATGACTAAAAGCAAGTATAATGGGTAAAATCTGAATGGCAGGAAACTATGCAGGCTTGGAGGTTTAGGATGGAATAATCATTGCCCAGCACTGTGCTCTAGGTTAATTAAATATATCCTAGTCTCTATGTGGTGATTTGGTAAACAGCCGGTTTAGGAATAACCACTGCTTAACTGAAAGATAAATCAAAATAAATATTAATAACCCATAACAGAGACCCCAATGATATATGAAATTAACTGTTGCGGTGGTGAAGCAGAAATCTTCAGAAATTATTTTCCTTCATTTACAAACTAGTCAAACTAAAGTCTCACTAAAACAAGTAAAATTGGAGTCCCTCATGATCTACACCTAGACTCATTGAACCATTTGAATTCCTGTGAAAAACGTTCGTTTGAGACAAAATGTCACTATCAGGTCTAGACTGAACTCTTGCTTCAACTTTTTGAAGTGTCTAACATAAATGATTCTCCCTGAAACCCTGATCCTACAGCATTAAAGGTACAGAAGGGAGAGAGCTAGAGCATTTCTATCCTACTGTACTGAGGCAGGCCTATTGTTTCAAAAATAAAATAGCTTTCCCCCTAGGAACAGCTACAACTGGACCACCCCAATGAAGCACTGCTAGGAGCTGCTGAGGCTGGTGCATCTAAGTCCTGGAAAGTGCCACATTATACCATTATAGGACTCAGCTCCTCTGAGCAGCAGTGCCTCCTTCTCTTGGCAGATATGGAGTCAGACTCAAAGCATACGCGCACACGCACAACCAACACACACACACACACACACACACACACACAGAATGAGCTACTTCTTTTAGACCGCAGCTCTGGACAAGTAGAATTTTAAAAAATTCAAAGATAGACTATACAATTATGCTATTTCAGTTACTGGTCTCCTAGGTCTAGAGAAATCATGTATATCTGAAGCTAGCATGACTGGCACCTTCAAAGTCAATGACCTAGACACAACTATTTATGCACAAAGAACTAGAACAGTGTGCTATCAGCTTTCCTCAAAGCTGTGTTTTCCCCCCACACCCTTACCCCCGGTGGTCAAGAATGAATGTAGAAACTCATAGCTGGCAAGAGTGTTGAGAATAAATAACTGTTGAATGTCCAGCTCTAAATGACACATCTCTATCATAGTTTTCCCAAAGGTCAAGGGATATTTTGGAAGAAGCAGAACAAAGAGAAAGATGGGGGTTGGGTGGATTGCTGACTTCTCTGGATGACATGGCTGTTGTATTC